GGTCTCGCTCTTTCTTGCTCAGGCTGGCCTCCAACTCCTGACCTCGTTGAGCGATCCTCCCGCCTCGGCCTCCCTCCCGAGTAGCTGGACTACAGGCGTGCGCAACACGCCCGGCTCGTTTTTTTTTCTGTATATTTTTAGTCGTCCAGCTCATTTCTTTCTATTTTTAGTAGAGACGGGGCCTCGCTCTTGCTCAGGCCGGCCTCTACCTCCTGGCCTCGATAGCGATCCTCCCTCCTCGGCCTCCCAGCGTGCTGGGACTGCGGACAGGCAGTGAGGACGGATTTTCACGTGGGCTCTGCAGAGCAGTCGGGGGACACTTTTGGGTGCTGGGGACGTGGGGGTGGCGGGGGGGACGACACAGAACTTGGGGTTCCGAGGGGGGACAGGGGCACTCCTGAAGTCCCCCAGGCCCCTGCACTGTCCCCCCTTGGCCCAGGTCTTGGGGGGTCAGCCTGGGAGCCCCAGGGGCCGTTTTCTCTCCGCAGGGACATCTTCTCCCAGGGGTTCGGGCCCTTCCGCTGGGTGTGCACGTCGGGGGACCCCCGGGACCTGGCTGTCACCGACCGGCTGGCCGCGACTGTCCTGGAGGAAGCCATTGCGGGCGGAGGTGACGCTCGTGGGCGCGGCAGGGGGGTCCCCCGAAACGCCCGGGTCACCAGCGACAGGTGGCAGCTGCCGCGTGGGTCCCCAGGCCCCGGTGGCGTGGGGGGGGTGACCGGAGGGACACCTGGCCGGCGACACAAGGGGACTCGAAGGGTCTCGGGGCCTCCCCCAGGGCCGGGGTCCCCCAATGCCATCGGGGTGTCGCACGCACGGGCCCCCAACACTGCGCGGAGCCACCGCGCTGCAGGGCGGTCGGGTTGCCCCGGGTTCGAGGCCCGGCCTCCGCCCTGCACGCGGCCCCGGGTTCGAGGCCCGGCCGCCGCCCGTGACGAGGGCTCCGTCGTCCCCGCACCTGCCGGTCCCCGAGTCCGCCTGGGGTGGGGGCGTGGCTTCCCTGTGTAGATGGGCGTGGCTTCCCCTGCAGTTGGGGGGGTGGCTTCCCTGTGCAGTTGGGGGGGAGGCTTCCCCAGGGTGGGCGTGGCTTCCCCCTGCAGACGGGGATGGCTTCCATTGCTGGTGGGCGTGGCTTCCCCGTGCCTGTGCATGTGGGCGTGGCTTCCCAGTGCAGGTGCAGCCGGGGGCGTGGCTTCCCTGTGCAGTTGGGGGGGAGGCTTCCCCGTGGTGGGCGTCCCAACCTGCAACAGGGAAAGCCACGCCCCCACGCTGCACAGAGCCACGCCCTGTACAGGGGAAGGCGCACCCCCCACACCTGTACAGCGAAAGCCACGCCGCCAACCTCGCACAGGAAGCCACGCACCAACCTGTACAGAAGCGCACCCCCAAGCCGTACAGGAAGCGACCCCAACCGGTACGAGGAAGCCACCCGAACCTGCACAGGGAAGCCACGCCTACCTGTACAGGGAAGCCACGCCGCCCAGACTGTACAGAAGCCAACCCCAACCGTGGACAGAGGAGAAGCACGCCGCCCCCAACCGTGGTACAGGGAAGCCACCCCCGCAACCTGCACAGGGGAAGCCCAGCCCCCAACCTGTACAGGGACAGCCACGCCTACCGTCGTACGAGGGAAGCACCCCCCAACACGTTTACAGGGGAAGCCACCCCCCAACCTGGTACAGGGAAGGCCACCGGCCCAACCGGGGGTACAGAGCACGCCCGCAACCGTGTACAGGAGAGCCACGCCCACCTGGCAGCAGGGAAGCCACGACGGCGCACCAGTGCAGGCAGGGAAGCGACCCCCCAACCTGGTTACGAGGGAAGCCACGCCCCCAACCTGCCACAGAGAGCCACGCTACCTGCACAGGAAGCCACGCGCCACCTGCACAGGGGAAAGCCACCCGCCAACCTCGTTACAGGAAGGCAGCGCCCACCTGGCACAGGGGAGAGCCACGCG